ATTATTGTCAGAAAATACTTTTTTGGGGGCGGTCAGTTTTGGGGTTTGAACTTGGGACCTCATGCTTGCTAGGCAGGCACTCCACCAGTTGAGCCTTGCACTGGCCCTTTTTGCTTTAGTTTTTTGCCCAGGCTGGCCTCGGATCTTGATATTCCTATGTACACCTCCCCTGTAGCTCAAATTGTAGGCACATGCCACCACTGGGCTTACTGATTGAGATGGTGCTAGCTCCATCTCCACTCCTGGCTGGCCTCTAACCTCCATCCTTACTATCTCCACCATTCAAGTAGCTAAGATTACAGGAGTTAACTATTGGCGCCAGGTCTTAGAAAATACATTCTTGAGACATCAGTTCCTTTTTTTTTTTTGGCTGTGCTGGAGTTGAACCTGAGAACTCACACTTGCTCAGCAAGCACTCTACTACTTGAGCTAAGCCCACAGCCCTTTTGCCTGGGGTTGGCTTCTAACTGTGTAACTGTGATCTTCCTGATCTCTGTGTCCTGGAGTAGCTGGGATTATAGGTGTGAGTCTTTGGCATCCAGCTTTTCTGCCTTTATTAAGAGAAGTATGCTAAGTCTCTCACCATGATTGTTTGGATTTGTTTATTTCTCTTTTAGAGATTGTATGATTGAGTACCTGCAAATTGGAAAAAAAATTAAATCATTTTTCATCATTATGAAATGTTCTTCAGGAAATAAAAAATGAAAGAAAGAAAGATATAGCCTTCTTTGTCTCCAGTAATGTTTTTTTTTTTTGCCTCAAGATTTATTTTGTCTGCGGTCATTTAATATAATAGATTGTACATTTGACTCAATTCTTCACCCGTCTTTTAGTTACACCATTTGCATCCACAACTTTTGCCATGGATCTTTACTGCTGTGATTTTTTACTTTGGGCCCAAACTCCTGGGATTCCATATGCCAGGTCCAACCATTTGCCCCTATATGCCAAATAAAGAGGCATGGCGAAGGGCAGAGAAAGGAGATTTATTTATTTATTTATTTATTTACTTTTTCGGTTCTAGGGTTTGAACTTAGGGCCTTCACCTTGAGCCACTCCACCAGCCCTTTCTTGTGATGGTTTTTTTGAGATAGGGTCTTGAGAATTATTTGCCTGGGCTGGCTTTGAACTGTGATTCTTCTGATCTCTGCCTCCGGAGTAGCTAGGATTACAGGCGTGAGCCACAGTGCCTGGCAAGAAAGATTTATTACATACTCAGGACATGCTGTGGGAAAAGGTAGAGCAAGCACTCAGCACATCTACAGCCATCTTTGTGAAACAGACATAGGCTATAATTTTTTTTCCGGGGGGAGGGGTGGGGTGGGTGCTATAGGCTTAAGTAGGCAAAAGAACTGGGAGCAGAGGACAAAGGTATACGTAGTTAAACAGTTCCAGTCATAGGTGTGGTCTAGTTGGTCATAATTTCAGTCCTTGTTCTGGGAGAGGTTCTGGACTTGTTATATGGAGGGTGATCCATGCAGAGGAGAGTCTACTGTTGGGGGTAGTTTCCGTTCCTTGTCATGAAGATGTTGTCAGTTCTGTCTTTCTGGAATCCAAGGTGATTGCAAAATACTGCAGAGAGAATGACTTGGAGCAAAGTAAGATACAAAATGAGGGACAGATGTCATGTTTTTCTTCTTACTTTTAGTTAAGTTGTGGACCTAAGTAAGAAGTTACTGCTTTTTAGCAAAAGCAGTTTAAACACCTCTTACAAAACCACATAATTGTATAGTTTTTTTTTTCTAGCTATGCTGTATAGTTAAGACTTAGCAGCAAAGAAAGTAATTGGATTCACCCAATATTGGGAATTTGCAGAATGGTTATATTAAAAAGATGAGAGGAAGAGGTCTATGGTATTGTATAGATACATGTGCATTTTCAAAGACCAGTTCTTTTAATTTTTTGAGACAGTCTTGCTGTATACTCCAGGCTGGCCTCAAACTCAATTTCCTCCTGCCTCACCCTCCTGAGTACTGGGATTATAGGTACCCACCCACCACACCTGGCTCCAAGGGCAGTTCTGATCTAAGCTCACTGTCTGGAAGTCAGAAGATCCTTTCTGTTTCCTCAGGACCTCATTATGCTAGTGATTTGTTTTTTTGCGGGGGGAGGGGGCAGGTACTGGGATTTGAACTCAGGGCCTATACCTTGAGCTACTCCATCAGCCCTTTTTTAGGATGTTTTTTCATGATAGGTCTCGAGAACTGTTTCCCTGGGCTGGCTTCAAACCTTGATCCTCCGATCTCTGCTTCCTGAGTAACTGGGTTATAGGCGTGAGCTACCAGCACCTGGCCTCTAGTGATTCCTATATGCACCTTTTTTATGCTTTTCAGCAAAAGTAGTTTGAGCATCTCTTACAATGTGAACAGACATTCCTGGAAACAGAGGCTTAAAGTAAGTTTGAACTTTGGGATTTACTCTCTTAGACAACTTCCATCCAGGCCACTTGGTTAAAGACACTTGGAGCAGTGTCAGTCATATTAGCTGAGGCCAGCCTAGATCAACAGAACGACTCAGATGCATGGGTAGTAAGTTCTTTGTATTTTATGTGACTGAAGTTGGTTTTATCCTGAAAATAATAAAAAGAAAATGATACATATACAAGATCTCACTCTCTCTTTTCCTCTCTCTTCCCCTCCCATTCCTCCTCACTCCCTCCCCTCCTTTTTTTTTTGTGATATAGGGATTGAACCCTAGCACATGCTAGGCAAGTGCTCTACCACCAGTAGCAGGGAGCATGTGCTGAAGGGACAGAACTAAGTACAGGCAAGTTTTATGAAGATGAGGAACATGGACAGTTTGGGGCTTTTGATGTTTCCATGAAGAGGAAGCTAATGAATTTAAGTGTGGGCAGTACTAGAAAATGGCTCCATCTATATTACTTTCATGAGTGTGTTGTTGGCAGCTGCCTTGCTTTGGCCAGCTGAGAGCTGCAGGAGACCCACAGGGTAGTTACTGTGGAATAGTGGACAGATATCCACATTAGCTGACTGGAATTCAGAATTGGGCTTTGTTGTCAACTCTAACTTTAGGGTTTTTTGAGCATCAGTTTTGCCATTTTCACCGTAAGGAAGATTGTACCTTCTTGATGCAGTTACGTGAATTGAGTGAGACCCTGTTTGAAACACTGCATGGTCTTTGTTCCATAGCATGAGTCCAGAACGTAAGTAGTTAGTTTTTTTTTTTTTTCTGTTTTGCTATTGCTGTTTTCTTTTCCCTTCTTTCTCCTTTTCTTCACCCTTTCTCTCTTTTCATTTCTTCCTTGTCCTTCTATCCCTTCTCTGTCCCCTCTTATTTTCCCTTTTCTGCTGGTAGGACTGGCAAAGACTATACACTTTTCTGGTTTCCTTTCTCTTGTTTTTTCTTTTCTCCTACTTCATCTATTCTTTCTTCATCTTTTACTAAACTATTTCAATCCTTTTCTTCTATTTTGTTCTTATTTTTTCCTCTCATGCTTCTTCCTAGCTAGGGGAGGAATACATAATCGGGAGCAAAGCTCTTAGCTGTTCCTTGCATCCCATCTCTGTTTTCCATGGCCCCCACTCTCTGAGGCACCAGCTTTTACCTTGCCTCCCAGTCCTCTAGGTTGCTCCTACCTTCCACAGCTCTGCTAAGTCTTGTAGTGACCATGATCCCTCCTTCCCTTTCTCCCTTTCTTTCTTCTTTCCTTCCTTCCTTCCTGATTGCAGGTTTTTTTAATTTTAAGAAAATATAAATGGAGATAAATATAAATTTCATTATATTGCTTTTTAAAATTTGTGGTAAAATTCAAATAATATGAAATTAACATTTATTAGCATTTAGTATAATCACAAGGTCGTGCTAAGCAAGTGCTCTACAACTTAAGCCATGCCTCCAATCCTTTTTGATTTATTTTTCAGATAGGGTCTCCTGCTTTTCCTAGGGCTGGCCTCTGACTTCAATCCTCCTACCTCTGACTCCTGAGTAGCTGGGATTACAGCTGTGACCTGCTATGCCTGGCTCAGTTCTTCTTTAAATGTTTGGTAAATGTTGCCAGTGAAGCCATGTGGGCTTGGACTTTACTTTTGGGGAAATTTAAAATTTCTAATAAGCCCATTACTTATTATAGGTCTGTTCATATTTTCCAATTGTGATTCAGTTTCATCAGTTTGTGTGTTTTAGGATTTTTTTATTTGCATCTAATTCATCTAATTGCTTGTCACTTAGTTCATCCTATTACAATCCTTTTGTTTTTGTAGGGTTGCTAGTGATGTTTCTTCTTTCATTTCTTTTAGTCATTTGGTGTTCTCCCTTCTTTTCTTGGTAAGTCTAGCTATAAGTCTACAAATTTTTTGCCTTTTGGGTTCATTGGTTTTTTGTAGTGTTTTTCTATTCTCATTTCTTTTCTAATTCTTACTATTTCCTTTATTTTGCTTACATTAGGCTTGTAATTAATAAGTCACTTACTCATTGATGCTTCCTACTTTAGCCAATTCTTCTGATTGGACTTCTCTGCTGTCACAGAAACAAGATTTATAAACAGAGAAATGCATGTACTGTTTACTTTCCTTGACTTGAATCTCTATAACTTCTGATTTCACCCTTTATTTTCCCTGTCCTAGAATGTTTTATTTTTTTTGTGTTCTGCAACTTAGTTACTCTATTTCTTATTCTACTTACTATATTATACTTCACCCATGCTTCCAACATCTCAGGCTATTTCAAAAGCATATTACAAGTTTTAATGCACATTTTATATGTTTTCTAATCTGAGGCCTTTTGTATCTGCTAGTTGAGTAGGAAGAAATATGGTCCCATTTTAGAAGTGAGAGAACTAAACCTATGATGGTGCAATGACTGCAAAAAGCAGTAAATTAGTAGAAAGGGTTGGATGGAGCTTTTATTCTTCTATCTCAAATCCAGTGTGTTATCCATTTATCTTTGATAGAATTTTCCATAGTTGTTGAGCTCAGGTACATTAACAGAAACCATGCTGGGTTCTGATTGTTTTAATTTTTCTTCCAGCAAAAGGGTGAATCATGATTAAGAAAATCAATGGAATCGAGCCCAGGAGTATGAAGAAAAGAACATCAAAGAAAAACCACATTTCATGGATCGCACACGTCTGCAATTACAAATGCTATATTACCTTCCTTACTGGATGCTACAGTTGCCACTGGAAATTCAAACAGTGGGAAAAAACAGAGCTTGGATCCTGCTGCTGCTCTCGGGTACAGAGAGATGGGAAGGAGCCAGGACCATACTTTCTTAGTTGCGGGGAGCTCCACCTTTATTCAGCCTCCTGGGGCTGGCCCCTGGTTATTGGAAACATAACTCATTAGATTCTCCAGGACTCAGGCTCCAGTCTTTCATGAACATACTATGACAATTCTAGAGTCAAAGTTATATTTTGTTATCTTCATTTTTTTCATTCTTTCTTCCTTTTTCTTTTTTTTTTGTGGTGTTGGGGAATCAAATACAGGATCTTGTGCATGCTAGGCGGTCCCTCTGCCACTGAGCTATACCTTCAGCCCTTCACTTTTATTCTTTTCCTTTTCCATACTATGCCATTTTATTCCTTTTTATGTCATTCATTATTCATTCATTCACATTACATTTATTCATTCAGCGAACCTTAGTGAAAAATGAAGTTTGTGTGCAATTAGATGTTTTTGACTAGGGATTATAGAAATGTCTGAATCTTCAATTCCCTCTGTGAGTTCCCAATGGCAAGTATGCTCAACCATAAACAGCAAGTAAGAAACAAGGTGCTCCTTTATTATTAGTCAAGCTAGTGCTTGATTTTCCTTAATGAAGAGTTCTAGTAAGGCTAAGTGGCAGCACTTGGTCTAGCCTTATGGCAGGCCTCTTTATTTCTCCAAGTCATGTATTGGGACCCTCTGGTGAAGTATATGTATAATAGATGAAATGATGAGTACACTTAAGTGAGAAGAAGGCCAAACCATGCACCTTCACTTGATTGTAAACATAGTCCTTCTAGGACCCAAGAATCTGACCAATTGGATCTTTAATTTTTTATGTCTGGTGTGGGTAGTACAAGGAAAGCTGTAGGAAATGGGAGACTTCCACAAAGAGACAGGAATGTTCTGTCCCTGTTTCATTAATGCCCAGAAACTTGACTTCTACACTAGTAATAGAGGTAACAGAAGTGCTTTAGGCATGGTTTCTGCTCTCAAGGAACTCACATTCTACTAGGAAGAAAGTCATAGACACACACAACCTCAGTAAAGCACGAAATTTTGTAATTGTGAGTTATATGCACATAAACACATCAAGGGAGGGGCCAAAAATAACTTTATTAGAAGGCAAAAGATGATTAAGAATTGAATAAGTAAAGAATTGGAGGTGGTAAAAAGAATTCTATTGAAAGAGGAATCAAAGGGCATAGTGAGTATAAAGACTTGTAAGTTTATTTTAGATGGAGCAGAAATGACAGAAGAAGTGATGGGAAATGAAGCTGGAGAGGACAATGGGTCAGATGCCTTGTGGTTTTAAATTTTTGACCTCACTATATAGAGAATAAAGAATCCTAAAGGAGTCTGGGGTTATAGCTCAGTGGTAGAGCATGAGCTTAACATGCATGAGGCATTGGGTTTGATCCCTAGCACCAGAGTGGGGAAAAAAAGTACTTAAAGATTTTAACTTGGTGATGTGGTCTAAACTGTGTCTTGGAGTGATTATTTGACTTTATGGAGGATATATTGGAAGGGGCCAGAAGAATGCAGGAGTGCCTCTTTGCCTTCAAAGAGAAAACAATAGTAGTATTCTAAATAAGAGATATTGGTAGCCTGGATTGGAGTAGTGATGGTAAATATGGAGAAAAGTGGATGGAGCCAACAGATATTTGTTACTTAGGGATGAGGTAGAGAGTCACTTGAAGGCTGTAAGGAAGGACATTGAGGGAAAAATAAAGGGGCTATATGGAAAAGATGACATTCAAGGCAGAGTGATACAATGGATAAAACCTTAGGCCAGAGCCTGGGAGTATGCATGGGTCCTAATTCTGACTCTGTCCTTGGGCTAGTTATTTGAGGCCCTCTTTACAGCTAGGACATTGAACTAAAGGTCCCCAGATAATTTTCGAGTCCCCCTTTGCTCAGGGAAAGGATTACAGCATATACCATAAGTGCTTATAAAGTATGGTGGCCTAAGGAAAGATTTCCCAGATTTCACTTTATGGCTTCACTACTGACAGTTTCTAAATCAGAGATTCACCACTGTGGGAGCTTGAGCAAATTACTTAACATTTCTGTGCTCCACTGTCTTCATTAGAATAACAAATAATAACAATAGCACCCACTACTAGGGTGGTTGTGAGAATAGAAGAGGCATTATGTGAAAATACTTTGAATTGGCATGGCACAAAATTATGTTTTTTGTTTGTTTTGTGTGTATGTGTGTGTAGGGGGGGTTATTGGGGATTGAAAGCAGGGCCTCACACATGGTAGGCAAGCTTTCTGCCATTTAAGCTATGCCCACATTCTCTCTCTTTTTTTTTTTAATGAAACAGAGTCTCACTACATTTTTTTCCTTGACTGATAAACTTTTGATCCTCCTCTTTCCTCCTTCCAAGTAGTTGACATTGCAGGCATGCACCACCACACCTGGCAATAAATGTTATTGTAGCCTTTCTTGGAGTCGCTGATTTGTGGAAGTGCCATATAGAAATTGCAATGCAGGGGATTCTGGGTGAAGAGAATAAGATGAGCAAAAGTCTAGAGAAGCCCAGTGGTGTGTTCAGGGGAAATTGGATTTCAGCATTGAATTTAGGGACATAGAAGGGAATAAATAAGTAGGGCTAGAAAGGAATATTTTGATTAAATTATGAAGCGTCTGTGCCAAGCTAACATATTTGAAGTTTATCCTATAAACAGTGGGGAGCCTTTGAAATTTTCAAGCCAAGAGTTGGAGACAATGAAAATCCAAAAATGGAAATAGATTTATTTAACAAAAAACTTACTAAATACTGAGACAGCTAAGGCCTTTGACCCTCCTGCATCTTAAATTCCAATGAGATGAGTTACATAATAAACAATAAATGAAGAGAAATGCTTTCAGGTAGTAATAAGAGCTTTGACAATAATAAAATAGGAAAAATGTGTTAGAAACTGGGATGGGAGAACTGGGCATGGTGGTACTTGTTTGTAATACCAGCCCTCAGGAGACTGAAGAAGTAGGATTACAAGTTCAGGGTAAGCCTGGGCCTTATTTATTTATGTCTGTAGATAGGTAGGTAGGTAGGTAGGTAGATAGGTGGATGGATGGGTAGATGGATAGATAGATGATAGATAGATAGATAGATAGACATAGAGGGATGAGAAAGTGGTTAGAGAAGATTTCTTTGAAAACATGACCTTTGGTCTATCTCCTAGTAAAGAGATAGAACCAGCATTGTGTACATCAGAGGGCAAAAGTATTCCAGGCAGAGGAACTTAGTAAGTACAAGCTTCCTGAGGTATGACAAATTTATGTTGTAGATGAGAAAGGTGGCCAGTGTGGCTGACATCTGGAAATGGAGTCAGAGTGCAGAATGGGATGAGGTGGGGGATGGACAAGGACTGATCCTATAGGGCCTTGTGGATCATGGAGGGCAGTTCAGATGATAGTCTCATACTATGGGAAGCTCTGGAAGGGTTTTGAGCAGGGGACTGATGTTATTTGATACATGTTTTTAAAAGTTTTCTTAAGTTTTGTATAGAGAATGTGGCTTATAAGGGCTCATAAGCCCTTAGTCAATTCCTGTGCTCTTCACCCTCTTACACTCAGGGTGATAACTTGCTGCCTTGATACTGGTAAAGTCCCTTGTCAGCTTTTCAGAATGCCCTTTCTGTTTTCTATTTTTTTTTTTATTCTTACTCCTCATTTCAACCTCAGAACTTAAGACAGAGATTAGTCTGTTTTTAACATATTAAAAACTGTCCAAAGAGGTGGGATTTATTATTCATGTGATTGAAAGCCTTTAAGATTATAACTTAGATAACAACCCAAACCTAATCCTCTTGGGAAGGGTTTGGCAACCTGTGGCATAACTGGTTTATGATATGATTTTCAGCTGGTGGGGTGGCTCTAGTGGTAGAGTACCTGCCTTGCAAGTGTAAGGCCCTGAGTTCAAACCCAAGTACCACCAGAAAAAGAAGAAAAAGAAAAAGAAAATCTTCTATATGATATGATTTTCAGTGTCGGGGATTGCCTTCAAGACTCAGTTTGATTGTATTTTCAATAAAGATGTTCTCCATTCTAGCTTTGAGTTCACACAGATCTGGGTTCCACTCCTACCCCTGCCACTTCTTGGCAAGGTGATCTTGAACCTATTAATTCACCTCTCTTAGCCACTTCTGAGAAATGAGGTTAGCAATACATAATTGATATATGGCTGTTAAGAGAAATAAATCAAGTGGAGGTAGCTTGTGACATCCCGGGCATTGTACTGGCATAAAATAGCTACACAAAAGAAGTTTAGTGCTCACTTGGCAGCACATATACTAAAATTGGAACAATACAAGATTAGTATGGCCCTTGCACAAGGATGACATGTAAATTTGTGAAGTGTTCCATATTTTTTAAAAACATTTCTTCTCCAACTCTTATTCCTCCTTGCTTTCCCAAGTGGGTAGATAAATGACTGAATGAAATGATGAATGAATAAATTACTCAAGGAATGGATCACCAAGCAGATTTGGTAGATGGAGAGGTGGATGAATTCATCAGATGATTGTTGAGAGCCAACTCCATTCAAGAATCTATGGTAGGTATTGGCAATACTGAGATGTGTTAGGAAAGTTTCTTTTCCTTGAAGAAGAAACAGTACACATCAGATACAAACATATAAACACATCATTACAGTTCAGTGTAAAGATGGTCATAAATAGTCATACACAAGTATTCCTAGAGATGGAAGTAAGAGAGTGGTTGGGGAGGGTAATGAATGGCACTGCAGCTATATTTACCTTTGGTAAATGTATACAGAAATTTCAGAGGTAACATGGATATATAGAATTAAGTTAGACTTCTTTCTCTTTCCAGGTAGAACAGTTTTTTTATGTATGCCTGGTGAGTTCATTTATCCTGTCTTCACTTTTGCTGTTCTTGTGGATAGAAACCTCCAACGAATACTTTGACTTAGACTGGTGAGTTTCATACTCTGTACCTTTATTTGTATAAGGGCTTGCTCTTTGGTCTGATAACCACCTGTATTCTACCTCAGGTTAAAAAGACCTGGTGGCATCATAGGGAGGGTAGACAAACTTGGATTTTCTACAGCTTGTGGGTGAGAGGCCTGACTGGGGCAGGGGTTTCTGTTCCTACTGTGGTCAGTTTTACACTGAAGACAAATCTGGCTTAGTGGGACCCTTTCTGTTTCCAGTGTCCCCAGTCCTTCTCAGTCAGTGATTCCCTGTCATCTTTATTCATCAGTCTGTTTGTTTGGGTTACTGATGCCTGCACTGCTGGTCTCCCTGTCTCTGTCCCTGAACCCTGCTTTTTCTGCTTCTCCTATAGTCTCTGCCTCCTTCTGTTCTTAAGGGCCTCCTGAAAACTCTGAACACAGGGATGGTGGTCCCTTCCCATCACCCTTTCATGGCTAAACTTCAACTCCTAGACTGCTCTCAGATCTTCCAGGCTTTCTGACCTGATACTTTCTAATGTTGCTGTAAGCCTTATCTACTATTTGGTGTTTGGGGGAAGAGTATAATTGGGTGTGAGGCTTCCTTTTCTTAATGGAAGACAGGTTGTTTTTCTCTGGCAGTAAAATCTACTTTTTTATTTCAAGTGTAAAAAGTATAGAAAATTTGCAGGGCACCAGTGGCTCATACCTGTAATCCTAGGTACTCAGGTGGTGGAGATCAGGAGTATTGTGGTTCAAAGCCAGTCCAGGCAAATAGTTCTGTGAGACCCTATCTTGAAGAACCCTTCACAAAAAAAATAGGGCTGGTGGAGTGGCTCAAGGTGAAAGTCCTGAGCTCAAGCCCCAGTAACTGCAAAAAAAAAAAAAAAAAAGAGCAGAAAATTAGAAAATACCTACTCAGTCACATTCTCTTTGACAATCACTTGGTAGATATTTTCCAACCTTTTTTAATGCTTATTATGTTGTTATGTTTATGCTGGTTATATAGTTTTGCTTTCCTTTTTACTTAAAATAATCATGTAATTTAATGAATCATTAAAACTTCCATTGAACATCATTTAAAATGGTTTCAGAAAATATTTACTTAGATTTTTAAAAATTTTATTTTTAATTAATTAATTAAATTTTAGGGTTTTTGAGACAAGTCTGCTGTGTAGCCCAGGGTGGCCTGGAACTCACTATGTATTCCAGACTGGTCTTAAACTTGCAGTCTTCCTGCCTCCATCTCCCAAGCACTGAGACGACAGGTGTGCACAAGCATGCCCAACTACTTAGCTATATTTTATTGTTGTTTTTTATTAGTGTTTCCATGTTCTTGTCTTAACAAAATACAGTTCAGAGAACTCTTTATACTGTTAGCTAATGTTCTTAGGTAGATTCCTGCAAGAATAAACACTGTTAAAATTCATTATGCCTTTGCCAAAGTACTTTCTCTAAAGGTTATAGCAATTTCCACTTAAAACAGAGGCATATGTCAGTTTCTATTACCCCTTTTTGGAATATATTAATTGTACAAAGGGGTTTCATTGTGGTATTTCCATACATGCATATATTGGATTTTGATCAAATTCACCCCCTCTATTACTCTTTCTTATTCCCCCTCTCTCCCTTTTAAAAATAATTTTTATTGGCAGAACTGGGGTTTGAATTCAGGGCCTTGCACTGTACCACTTGAGCCCTGCCCCTAGCCCTTTCTGCTTTTGTAATTTCTCAAGTAGGGTCTTGTGTTTATGCCAAGGCTGGCCAGAACTGCAGTCCTTCTACTTACACTTCCTGTGTAGTCGGGATGACAGACATGTGCTATCACTCCCAGCTTTTACTGGTTGATGTGAGGGTCTTACAAACTTTTTTGCCTGGGGCTGGCCTTGAATTTTCATCCTCCAGATCTCTATTTCCTGAGTAGCTGCAATTAAAGTTGTGAGCAACTGTGTTCAGCTTTTAAAAACAATTTTAATGGGTTTCATTATTATATTTCCATACATGCATATGAAATACTTTGATCATATTCACCCCTCCTTTCATCCTCTCACTGGTTCATGCACCCAAATAGTCCCCATTTTACATTCAAGTCATTTATTTTTCTTTAAGTTTAGATTGCCCAAATGAGAGAGAATATGCAACATTAGTCTTTTTCAGTCTGTCTTATTTTGCTTATGATTTCCAGTTCCATCCATTTTCCTGCAAACAAAATACTTTCATTCATCTTTATGACTGAATAATATTCTGTTGTGTATATACAGCATTTTCTTTATCCATTTATCAGTTGATGAATACCTAGTCTGATTCCATAGTTTGGCTGTTGTGAATGTTACTGCTATAAACATGGGAGTGCACTGGATGCTGGTGGCTCACGCCTGTAATCCTAGCTACTCAGGAGGCAGAGATCAAGAAGATTGCAGTTCAAAGCCAGCCTGGGCAAATAGTTCCACAGGGCCCTATCTCAAAAAAATCCTTCACAAAAAAAGAGCTGTTGGAGTGACTCAAGCTGTAGACCCTGAGTTCAAGCCCCAGTACCCTCCCCCACCACACACAAAAACATGAGAGTTGCAGGTATCTCTGTTGTTCCCAGATTCACATTCCTTTCAACATATGCCCAGGAGTGGTATCAGAGGATCATATGGTAGTGCTTTTTTTAGTTTTTGAGGAGCCTCCATACTGATTTCTGTGACTGCACTAGTTTATATTCTCACCAACAGTGTGTAAGGATTCATTTATGGCTAAGGGTGTCGAACATTTCTTCATATGTATATTGACCATTTGTACTTGTTCTTTTGAGAATCATCTGTTCAATTCATTTGCCCATTTATTAATTGGATTGTTTGTTCTTTTGATGTTTAAGTTTTGGATCTCTTTATATATTCTAGTTATTAATCCTTTATCCAATGAATGACTGGCAAAGATTTCTCCCATTGTGTGGGATGTCTTTTGATAGTGGTAATTGTTTCTTTTGCTATGAAGAAGTGTTTAAAATTGATGCAATACCATTTGTCAATTCTTTTTCTTATTTCCTGAGCAATTGGAGTTCTATTAAGGAAGGCGTATTATCTTTCTTATAGGTTAAGGGTTTCCTCTACAATTTCCTTTAGTACTTTCAAAGTTTTAGGACTTTAATTTAGATCTTTGATACATTTTGAATTAATTTTTGTACAGTGTGAAAAATGGGGATCTATTTTCAGTCTTTTACAGGTGGATATCCAGTTTTCCCAAGACCATTTGTTGAAAAGGCTGTCTTTTCTCCAACATAAGTTTTTGGTGCCTTTTTTCAAAATCAGATATATATAGCTGTGTGGGTTTATTCTGGATATTCTATTCATTCTATTAGTCTAACATATCTGTTCTCTTCCAGTACCATGCTGTTTTTGTCATTTATAACTTTGCACTATAATTTGAAATCAGGTATTGTGGTATGTCCAGCATTGTTCTTTTTGCTCAGTATTACTTTGGCCATTCAGGGTCTTTTGTTGTTCCATATGAATTTTAGAATTTGTCTAATTCTGTTGAATTTTTATGCATTGAATCTATAGATTATTTTCAGTTGTATAGCCATTTCATGTATTAATCCAGTCAATCCTGAACAAGGGAGGTCTTTCCTTCTTCTAGTGTCTTCAGCTTCTTTCTTCATATTTTATAGTTTTTACTGTAGAGGTCATTCAACTCCTTTGTTAGGTTTATTCCTAGGTATTTAATATTTCTTTGAAGCTGTTGTGAATGGGATTGTTTTCCTGATTTCTTTCTTAGCTGGTTCATTGTTGGTATATAGAAAAGCTGCTGATTTTTATATGTTGATTTTTATGTCCTGAAAGTATTTATCAGATCTAAGAGTTCTTTTTCAGTGTCTTAGGGTCTTTTAGTATAGGATCATAGCATCTGTACATGGATAATTTGACTTCTTCCTTTCCTATTTCTGGCTCTCAGTTCTTTCTCTTATTGTTCTAAGGATTCAAGTACTATATTGAATAAGAGTGAAAAGATATGTTTGTCTCATTCTCGACTTTAGAGGAAATGGTTTAGTTTTCTCCCATTTAGTAAAATGTTGGCCATAGTTTATATATACCTTTTTTTATGTTGAGGTATTTCCTTTTATTCCTAGTTTTTTCAGGGCTTTTATCATGAATTTTGTTAAATGCTTTTTGTGCCTCTATTGTGATGGTCATGTGATTTTTGTCTTTTTTTCCTGTTTTTGTGTTGTATTATATTTATTGATTTGAATATGTTGAACCATTGTTGCATACCCGGAATAAAATCAACTTGGTCATGTGGATATCTTTTTAGTGAGTTTCTAATTCTGTTTACAAGTATTTTATTGAGAATTTTTGCTTCTATTCGTTCATCAAGAAAATTGGTCTGAATAAAAAAGAAAATGTTGAGGTATATTCCTTTTATTCCTAGTTTTTCAGGGCTTTTATCATGAATTTTGTTAAATGCTTTTGTGCCTCTATTGTGATGGTCATGTGATTTTTGTTTTTTTCCTGTTTTTGTGTTGTATTATATTTATTGATTTGAATATGTTGAACCATTGTTGCATACCCGGAATAAAATCAACTTGGTCATGTGGATATCTTTTTAGTGAGTTTCTAATTCTGTTTATAAGTATTTTATTGAGAATTTTTGCTTCTATTCGTTCATCAAGAAAATTGGTCTGAATAAAAAAAGAAAATTTAAAAAAAATTTAAAAAGAAAATTGGTCTGTATTTTTTCTTTTTGGTGTGTCCTTATCTGGTTTTGGTATCAGGGCAATACTGGCTTCATAGATTAAATTTGGTAGTATTCCTTTCTAATTTATGGAACAATCTGAAGAGCATTGCTGTTAGTTCTTCTTTAAAGGTCTGCTAGAATTCAGCAGTGACTCTGTCTGGTCCTGGGCTTTTCTGTGTTGGGAGATTCTTTATTGGTACTTCAATTTAATTGCTTGTACAGGTCTGGTTAGGTGGTTTAAATCTTCCTGGTCCAATTTTGGTAGAGCACATGCATCTAGAAACTTATTCATTTCTTTTAGATTTTCCA